ACATACTTTAAGACTTTTACTCAAGTAATATTCTAAACGGTGGCTTCAACTTCTACTAAAGTCATTTTCTGGTAAGATATCTGTACATGTTCGAAACTGTCTATAGCCGAACTCGCTTTTCATCCTTTTCTCATCACATATCACATTGGAAAAATGGAAAATGAATTGCTTAACCAGTATTTAATAATAATGTATTAATTAGGTAGGTTAAGTGTTACTACAGTAAATCCATTGTAAATATTGATTTGTGGATTGAAAAGTACTCTAATAGGATTGTTGTTGCAGTGTTTCTCCTGTTTTCTGTGTCAGTGTTGTTAAGAATAGCAGCGCTGTTTCATCTGCCTTTAAACGTGTTTAAATCACTGTGGCGTCTGTGGTTTTTATCGGATACCTCTGCTCCAAACTCGAACGCTTCTCACAGCGCTGTTTAGTGGTCGCATGATCGAGACCTGCCAGCAAGCAAACGCATTTGTTCTGAGCTCGCGCTGCGCTGTCTTTAGGCAGAGCTAATAACAGTAGTTATTACTAACGTTATAATAAGTAGCGCTGTACCGCTTTTAGTGCGCTAAAGACAGCCCATATGAGTTATCAAATTGTTGTCACTCATGTTTTACTGATACATCTGGCCTAAAATTTAGTGCTCTCACCTTGTGTTGACATTGTGAAACTGCATGATTTGTAAATTATGATTGGCGGGCCACATATAATAGCCTACATTTCAATAGACATTTACACTAAGTGAAAATAGCCATTCTATTTACGTTAGGCAAAAGTAGCAGATCTTTGCAATAAGTGTAAATAGTAGCTAATTAGATGCTATTTATACTGCACCTCAGTATTGTTGTACATAAACAGGATGCAATAATAACCAAGTGTAAATGACTTTATTTATTAAAATTATTAAATAGATGCTGTCTTATTAGGACAACAAGCCTCCCTAATTAATACATTATTATTAAACACTCGCTAAGCAATTGATTTCCACTTTTCTCATATGTGATTAGAAAAGAAAGAAAAGTGAGTTTGGCAAAGACTGTTGTCGATCGCATCACACGCTACATCCCTGCGCATTACTCTGCGCATGGGAAGTCGTGGCCAAATGGTTAGAGAGTCGGACTCGTAACCCAAAGGTTGCGGGTTCGAGTCTCGTACCGGCAGGGATTGTAGGTGGGGGGAGTGAATCTACAGCGCTCTCTCCCGCCTTCAATACCACGACTGAGGTGCCCTTGAGCAAGGCACTGAACCCCACTGCTCCGGGTGTGTGTGTTCACTGCTGTGTGTGTGCACTTTGGATGGGATAAATGCAGAGCACTAATTCCGAGTATGGGTCACCATACTTGGTCACATGTCACGTCACTTTCACTTTTTTCTCCAACTGCAGATGCTATTTGACTCTGTCAAACGAGATGAAATGAATGACACGAGTGTGTTTATTCTCGACTTTTTTTCTCGAAATTTAACAAGTTTTTTTTTCTCAAAACACAATTTTTTTCTCGTAATTAAATGAGTTTATTCTCAACATTTTATTTCAACTTTTTTTCTCGAAATTGAATGAGTTTTTTTCTCGAAATTTAATTACTTTATTCTCAACATTTTGTTTTTTAAACAAGTTTTATCTTGAAACATAACTTTATTCTTGAAATTTAATGAGTTTAATCTCAACATTTTATTTTGACATTTTTATAGAAATGTAATGAGTTTAATCTCGTATTATAATGACTTTAATCTCGAGATGTTTTTTATTATTATTGCTTGGCCCTAATCCTCTTCCGTACCTACTAGCACAGAATTAATCTGCATATAAAAACTGCATCCAAAAATCATATGCATAAACCTTAAAGAAAATGGCACAGTCACATCTCAGTGTCCTAAATTGAGCAACTGCCCAAGTTTCAGTGCAGGACGCCTGCTATTGAAGATAAGGCTGTGCTATTCAGCACATTCAGAATGCGGCCCATTTGTTCACCTGTTATCAATGAGTCACATACATCCAGGTTTCTAAGAATTGCATGTTCACCTAACACTACTGAAAATTACCAAGAGTGTAAATTTGAAATTAACTAAAAAAAAATGCTTAGAAGGACATAACACATCAGCAACTCAGTAATGTAATTTAAAACAAAAATGAGAAAATATTCAAATGTCTATGAAGATTATTAAACAATTCCTGCGAACAGTCATGTTTTAAATTCTGACTAGAATTTGAAACTTTTACACAGGCAGTTGTGGAGCTTTAGTTGGTATATATTGTCTGTGTGGATGAGAGAGATGGTCTCTGGTGATGTTCAAGGTTCTCCAACAGATTTAATAAACAAACACAGAGCTCACAGACCGAGGCAGACTGGCTCCCCACGGAGAGCGCAAATACAGCCTCATTTTCCGAGCAGGAAAAGAGAGACGGCCATCTTAAAAAAGCTGTACGCTGGGGAAACAAAGTGAAACCAATATCACACTTTTTTTATCATTACAGCCTTGTGACAGTCTATGCAGCATTGTATCACCAAACTATAGACTCAGAGCAGGACTATAAGGGCTTGGGTTGCCATCTGGGTTTGGGTCTTAGTCGTGAGACCTAAAATTGACCTTAGTCATATTACTCAGTGTATTGGTCTGAATCTGGATCCTCACACATGGTCTCGGATAAGACTGCAGTCTATTTCCAGCTTGCCTTGTGTAACCACCCATTTAGACAGGAAGAGATGGTCTGATTGACATGTAATATAATTAACAGATTACTGTACAAAGGTAATGATGACATGCAGAGGAGGAGATGAGCCACTTATTTTATTTCTCTGGAAATTACTGTAAACTCCACACAGACTCTCAAAGGTGCTCATTCAGTAAAGCAGGGAAGGGAAGAAGCAAATAAAAAATGTCAGAAATCGAACAATACTATATAATGTTTAAGAATGTTTGGTATTCTCTAGCCCAAGATTTGACAGATTTTCAATCTGTCAATAGATTAAAAAACAATTAATCTCATGATATTTTTGTAATGAACATGATTAATCTATCACAACTGAATTTGCAGAAACTACATGTACACATTTTCATACAAAACTATAGTGTGTGGTCATTTGCAATGTATTATTGTTAATGAAATTATTTTCACTTTTAAGATATAGGGAAAACTTTTTTTTTGTTGTTGGATGGCAAAGATTAATTAAAGAGGTTTTATTGTACAAAGATACATTTGCTTATTTATTACCGAGGGTTTTAAACATCTCATTTGTAATCACTGTTTTCACTGCACTCTCCCAGCTGGTTAGGTGCCAAGATAAACAGTATATATGTTCAAAAATTACAATGATTAGTCTGCACTCTATAATATTTTATTTAAGTTAAAGCAAGGGATAAAAAAGGGGATAAGAAACGTCGGTCCCACTTTACATTAAGTGGCCCTAATACCTGTGTACTTACATAGTAACTAGATGTGTACGTAGTATGTAACCACAGTGTAAGTACACATTGGTACATAGTATCTACAGCTTGTAATATTTCTGTAACTACACACATGTAACAACCCTCAGAATTGTTTGTGTAAGCACAAATGTGTAACAGGACATTGGTAACAACACTTTTTTTCACTTCACTAAGTACTTGTGTAACAGGAATTATATAACTACATTTTGTAACAACAATATGCATAATTGGAACCATTTGATCCAGGGGGTGGAGATGGGTAGGTTTAGGGATATGTAAAGTGGGAGGAGTTGGATCTCAAATTGGTGGAGTTGGTGCACCACTGTAATACCAGTGTACTTACATGGTAACTTCTCAGGAACTGTCCACTTAATATAAAGTGGGACCGAAACGTCTGTTTATTATCCCCTGCTTTAACTAAAATAGTTGGCTTCCTTTCACAAAAACATTTCATTTAAACTAATGGGTTAAGGTGTTAACTTTGAGATTCCTAATTGTACTTAAATATAATAATAATAATAATAATAATAAACACCATTGAGTTGGATTCCACAAAAAGTGTAACTGGAAAACGGGCTAAGCTAAAATTGGCCAAAATGTAGCCTGAGCCCACTTTTGTGGCCAGTAAAAACTAAACTCAGATGCAAAAAGGGGAAAGAACTTAAAGGGGTCATATGATGTTGCTAAAAAGAACATTATTTTGTGTATTTGGTGTAATGAAATGTGTTTATGCGGTTTAAGGTTAAAAAAACACATTATTTTCCACATACGTTCTGGAACAGTGTTGTAAATACAACTTAACCACTGATTTCTAGTCGTGTCCTCTTTTGGAAGGACAAACAAAGTAGTTTCGTTTCACAACGAAACACAGCGTCACACACCGCAGCCTTGAGTGAGCAGAGGCCGGGGGCTAGAGTGAGTAACGGCCGGAGGGCTAGAGTGAGCAGAGGCGGCGGGCTTGCGGCACCGCTTCTTCCACGGTGAAAGCCGATCCGGCGATCGACGGCGCAAAGTTGTATTATTTCCTCAGCAACCAGCACGGATCAGCACCAGGCATGACGAAGCAGATATCGTTCTCTTTTGGAAGGCCAAACAAAGTAGTTTCGCTTTCACAATGAAACACAGCGCCTTCATGACATGGCAGCGGCGGCAGCAACAATACTACAGAGAGAAAAAAGTTACGCCTTCTTTCTTTGCGTGAACATTTGGGTGGCGTTATGCAATTCTTCCCAGATAGTGACGTAGACATGTGGGGGCGTGTTAGAACGAGCCGTTTAGGTAGGCTGACTCTTAACTTTTATAAAGAATATCTCTTTGGATTTGAGACTTTAGTCTTTGCAACTTTACAGATCTTCTTTATGCACCAAGAGCTTGTAACACTCCAAAGAGAAAGGAAAAATTGAAATCGCATCATATGACCCCTTTAATTATTTTTGCTCTGACATTTTTCCTGACCTGTCCTGTACTCAGACCTCTTTTTGGGTTGTGGGTCTCTGCTGACAAGCGTTTAGGCAACACCTACAGTGGCTGTTGTAGGTTTACTGTCATAAATCTTGATACATGCAAGACATAAAGAATAGCAAAAGAAAATTAATGAGATAAATAAGGATCATAACACACGAAACCTGTCACTCACAAAATTTGGCTCTGAGAAGCAACTGACAAAAATATTTAATGCATGAAAGGGTCCCTTCTGAATGGCATTGAAGCGATAGAGCAGCACTGAAGATCGGGATGAACAGCCGATCAGACATGTACCTCACCAGCTTTACTTTTCATCATCTTTTCCTGTAAATATAAATGAATGTGTTCCTCCTAAACAACGGTATTTATTGTCATAGGACAATCAAGTCAAGTCAGTCACCACAGTGGCTGGTAAATAAAATAATCCAGGCACCACTGCAAAATAATTCCTACAGTCCATAATTTCCTACCCTGGTTGACGGTCTTGTCTGGAACTCAGTGTTTGGTTTGGATCTGGGCTTTGAGGGACCTGATCTTGGTCTGGATCAGGGTCTTGAGAGATCTAGATTTGGTCTGGGTTCGGGTCTTATGGGGTCTGGTGTTGGTCTGGGTTTGTGTATGGGTGAGAGTTCCCTCAAAACAATTTAAAAAAGAAACCATAAATGTTTAAATATTTATGTGAATACCTCTAACACTGAATTGGAGTACTGTTTGAATGAAACAGCATATTCTTTCAATATATTTCATAACATACATGTAAGATAATCTTTTTAATACTATTACAAACTTTAACCCTTACAAACATAAATGAAATAAAGTTAACAGTGTCATCCCATTGCTTTCAAATAGATGTAGGATTTTCAAGGTAATCCAGTGTTCATTTAAATCAGCTAATATTCATTAAATATTTCCACAATGTGAAACGTTGGAGGACTGACCTGTCTGTCTTCTTCTTCTCATCCTCCAGGGCTCGGAGCGTGTGCTGCAGACGGTCAGTCAGGATCTCCAGCTCCTGGGTCAACTTGTACTCTTCACGAAACTGCTCCCCCAGTAACACAAGGTCTCGGGTGGCATCATGAAGAGGAATGTCACTCAGGTACAGACCTCTCCTTGTCAGGTCATCCAGATTCATAACACTGACATATTGACAAAACACTTAATCAGCCCCATAAATTTAAGATGTCAAAAAGTGAAGCAACAAAAAAAATGTCTTAAATTTAGCAATATAACCTTAATATATACCAACATAGCAGTCTCATTAGAAAACATTTTCACCACATAATAAGTTATCAAAGCCTTTGTGTGCATGCCATGGGGATTATTATAGTTTCTTAAAAAAAATTCAATCTAAATCAGCGGGAAGGACACATAGTAGTTGTGTTTGCCAGTAAAAGAGTGTCTGAACCAAGTGACCTCTTCATATTATTGTAAGAGGACTCACCTCATCTCAGACAGGCATTAGCGAGAGATAAGGTATTAACACACAAAGTGACTGAAATGAAAAAAATCAATTTCTAGTAGGATTTGGCTTATAAGAGGCCTACAGAATAACTGGAATGTAAACATTTATTAGAAACTGGCCCAACTCCTGCTGTACCATTATGTTTAATTTAGGCAATGAACAAATGTACTGTACTTGTCTTGTAAGTGACAAGAATCGTACTGATGTTTAAATGACACGTTATGCTATTTATACTTTATTTCCTTCAAGCTGTATTAAAGGTATAAATCAATGAAGTATGAGTAAAGGTTGCCTGTCTAAATGCACTTTAAAAAGGGAAAATGCGAAATTCCTTTAAGGAGCTATTTCTACCTGATAAACCACTTTAAAATGACTTTTGTTGGTGTAACATAATATAGTCAGGTTGATTCTGTCAAATTAAATACTATTTTTACCTAAAACATTAATTTAACCACATGTAAGCACATTTTAGGTTAACAATGTTAACTAAAAAAAAAAATCTAACTTAAAAATATTTTTAATAATAATAATAGATATGACTAAATCCACTTGACTACATTAGGTTACAAAAATGAAAATAATTTTAAGGGTTAGAGCAAGTAAAAATAAGTAATTATGGTAACAATTACATGTGTTGTCCATCTTCTCTTCAAGTTCATGTGAAGAGCAGTAGAATATGATTTCAAACTGATGCAATTATTTTAAGCTACCAAAATTACCAAATTTGTTTTATTGGTATTATTTCACAGCCTCATCCATCTAACCTTGGTGAGCACAGGAAAAGGATGTTCTCAGTCTCAGGAAGTGAGATCATCTGGCCCTTCAGTCTCAGGCAGCTAATCTCTGTTCCTGTGAGTTCATCTTCACTCTCCGCAGTCTCTACATTCAATAGGCCCTCCTACATAAAACCATAAACAAACCTTGTATCATTTGGTTTCCATTTACATATTTTTATTACATACATGGTTAGCCTTGTATTTGTATATGAGTGTGTGACATGTACTGTAGAACTAACAATCATAATTTGTTTCAGAAACTATTAACAACATTTAGTTAATGAGTGCTGGTGGTTTTATATCAGACAGTATGTAATGTGTTTTGGGGCAGACAGACCTTACTCCGCAGCACAAAGACAGTGTTGATGTGAGACAGGATGCCATGGAAACTGAAGTCTATGTGTGGCCGCACCAGCGAGAACACTGAGGACAGGTTACAGACGCCAGGCTGCAGCTGGAAGATGGCACAAATAACTTGACATTTTTCTCCATCATACTTTAAATATACTTTCTAAATCTCTCACTTTTACATTTCTAAAAATACATTTTTGAGCAGACGAACCTGTGGCAGAACTCTGAAGATGGCATTGCCACACTGTGTGAGCATGAGGTCCTTGTCAAACATCAGGTGGAATGGGAAAGCCTTGCAGAAGGTATACGGACTGATCCGTGTCTCTTGAGTCCCATTCTCCTCGAAACCATCCAAGTCTTCATAAAACGCCTCCTCCTCCGAGTCCTTCTCCTCAATCAAGAACTTAATGTGATCACATTCTTCACTCTTCAGCTGAATGACCTGGTACACCCCCACAAATAACAGATTTAGAGTCTCGTGGGTCTTGGGGACTGCATTTCCAAACATTAAATGTGGACACCCACAGCGTGAAAGAAAAAGAAAGAAATGACTGGAAGAAAGGGTGGAAGTAAGAGACAGACCGATATAGGGTTATTATTGGTAACTAAAACTGAAGCCATAAAAAAAAAAACATTTTCAGTATTAGAAATAAAACAAACATTAACTGAAATAAAATAAAACGTAAAAATCTTATGTTTATTTTGTTTTAACCAGTTGCCATGCAACATTTCTCACTTTCATTTAAGTTGAAGTACTAAAATACTAAATAAACACAAACTCAATAAACTAAAACTTAATAAAAACTATATAGCTATGGCTGAGGTTATTTATTATTTTATGCATGTTTATTTATTTTATGTATTTATGTATCTATTTATTTTCTAACATATGTGCTGTATGTTCTGTACTGCTTATGTTCATTTTTAAAACAAACTCCAGTAAAAATAAAAACCAAACCAAAACATTCATTTTATACAAAATAAAATAAAATAAAAATAATCTGGGAAGGCAATTGCAATCTAAGTGAATGAGGTCAATCTGTAAGCATTTGTTAACCATGTGTGTGTTAACATGGTTTTAGTGTGGTCAAAAAAATGTTATATCAAATTTGACAACTTTGTTTAAAATGACTGAATGATTTAAAAAGTTTTACAGTTCAAATAAGTTTTAACAGAAAAATAAAATTATAAGCAAAATATTAAATTATATTTAATTTTAAATCCTCCAAAAACAGCCCTTTTACTTTCATTATAATACCTGAAAATGAAGGATGAGTTTTTTGTTTTTGTTTTTTTATAATCAGCATTATGCCACAAATGCTGTTGAATAACTTACATTGAATCCGAAATATTCCTTTAAAGAACACAAATAAAAGTGTCTAATAGTCTCTTGTGATTCCAAACAATATCTTCTGTTAAGTGGTAAGAGTCCAGGTTCAGTGATCTCATTCCTTAGTCGTTGCATAGCATGTAGACTAAGCAAAGAGAAAGTTAGAGCTTCAAGTGTGTCTGAGTGTTTAATAAAGGAGAATGTTTAGTTTATTTAAGTATGAGTCAAATACAGGAATAACTTTTGGAATTTTTTTACGCAATGAAGACACTCGTTCTCTCTGTTTTATCTTCAGCAATATCACTGAAATTGCCCTAAAAGCCATTTTATTGTAGCCATCATATCAGCCTGGTCTGAATGCAGAGGCTGTTGTTTTTTCTCTCTCAGCTTGAAGTTGAGCCCATTTTACTGACGTCAAGTCACTGTCTCTTTGCCCTGCCGTCACCATGACGACGATGGCTAACATTTTTTTCAACAAGTCAGGTGTTGCATTTCGAGGGTCTGTCGATTGGACTCCCTCATTTCACACTAAGCCCAGATGGAGAGAGAGAGAGACGGAAAGAGCAGTCTGCCGTCTGGGGGATGATTAGCTCTTATTGGGTGAGTGGGATTTATTTGGAAAATAAGGCAGAGACTGAAGTGCGGTGACAAAGGATAAACCGCAGGGAGTTCATGATAATGTTGTTCATCGATGAGCCTCTCTCAGTGAGAAAGAGAGTAAATCTACCTCTGGTCTACCTCCAGTCATGTCTGGATAATTGCAGAATTTATCACTTGCATTACTGTTTGTTTAAAAATACCATTACATATATATATATATATATATATGTGTGTGTGTGTGTGTGTGTGTGTGTGTGTGTGTGTATGTATGTATATATATATATATATATATATAATTTATTTATTTATATTTATACATGTTATTATATATAGATTATGATTTTTTTTTTTTAATGTTTTTTAAAGAAGTCTTTTATTCACCAAGTCTGCATTTATTAAACAGTAATATCTTTTACAGTTATATTATTACAGTTAAATGCACGGTTTTCTATTGTAATATATTGTAAAATGTAATTTATTCCTGTGATGGCAAATCTGAATTTTCAGCATTATTCTTTGATGAACAGAAAGTTCAAACAGCATTTATTTGAAATAGGATTTTTGTCTTTTCTGTCAATTTTGATCAATTGAATGCATCCTTGCTGAACAAAAGTACTCATTTCTTTCTTTAAAAATCTATCTATCTATCTATCTGTCTATCTGTCTATCTATCTATCTGTCTATCTATCTATCTATCTATCTATTGTTGTGTCATTGTGGATATTACTTTTTTGTGCAATAATTCTCTTCTACCATGTGCATCTGAATCTGCCAGGCTAAAGACAATTAAGGAACAAAGCAACATCTATAAAGGAGACCATCAATACACAGGCACAGCACCTTCATCTCAATCTCAGTTCCATGAATCTGCTGTGCAACTGTCTTGATGATCCCTATGACGATGTCCTGAAGACCTTCTCTCTCAGAGTAATAGTGTAAAATGAGGTTGTTCCCTTTCTCTGCATCCGTGCAGCGGAAGGAGGGCGCGCGCATGCCGGGGTAGATGGTGCCCAGATGGTCATGCAATGCGTCCAGATTCTGAAAGAGAGAAGCTGATATTAATGTGCTGATGTAAAGAGCAGAGTTTTGCCAAGTCAGTGCAATGAAAAGGGGTGAAAATAGGGTATCTAGTATCTAGATTTTAGTAGCACTAAGCTTCATACTACATGATATTTAGTGAAATCAGCTTCAGTTATGGCAAACTTTTCTCTCATTTTTAATTTGACTATGGCCACAGTCGTATGGAATTTTTCACAAAATAAGGCAAAAAAATTACATTCTTTAAAAAACATGATATATAACGAAAGAACATTAAGGATTTATTTAAAATATAGCTGATGATGTTATTGTAAATAATCTGCAGTAACACAGAACATGCCATTTTCATTGTGTAATCTAACAAAATTATTATTTAATACTCTATTATTATTTTAAACTATTTTAAAAATCATCCTCACTAAAAGTACAGTACATGCAGTGTGTGAAATAGAGAACAGACAGTGTTACTTGCGTCACTTTCTCAACATTGCTGCTGCTGATTTTTGGGTGATAAAAACAGTAGCCTCTTACTTGTAAGAATTCACGGACATTGGAGCCCAACACTCGAAGGATAGTGTCATAGCCAGATTCCTGACAGAACTCAAAAAACATTTTCCCGAACATTTGCAAGATGCCTCCGGCATCCATTTCTATAGAAGAAGAAACCATATTTAAATCAACAGGCAATTCAAGAAGATTTTTACATTTAAACAAAGTAATTTTATTACATTTCATTGTATAAGTTAATCATTATGATGTTCTGTCACTTATAATAGGCCACTTTTGATTTAATAAACCACTTAATAAATAAATCAATTTAGGTTTTAGCAAATGATTACCTCCATCTTTCCAAAACTACAACAATAACAAAAACAACCTTACTTAGTACTTTGCTTGCAGCAGCCACAAGGTCATATGTTTTGGCATCTTCATAGATAATTCTGACCAAAAACTGTCCTTCTACATCAACCTGAGCCTCTCTCCTAAAAGAAAAATATAATATAAAATATTTTAAACAGCGAGTAATTGCTATTACATCATTAACATTAATTAAAAGACTAAAAAATGTTTCATTAGAATTTTTAGACTCCAAGGTAATTACATATCTTTAAATTTTGAGAAAAATGAAAAGGAATATTTCATAAAAGCATGAAGATTGTTAGTCGGGTCAAAATGTGATTTGCTTGGACATATTACTAAACTGTGAGCTAAAATTCTTTGACTAAGAATGATGACCAAAGTTCAGCCAAAAAGTCACAATAGTATCAACAAGGGAAAACACTTGTAAAACACAACCTAAAATTAGAAATAGAAACATTGTTAATCATGTCTTGGACAGTGCACTGCGAGATGCTGCTAACCTTGTGATAATATTGAACCTTGCTGAAAAAAATGCTGCAATAACTGAGTCCAACTGCTTTAATGTTGCCAGAAAATCGAGTGAGACTCGAGCTCACAACTTGAGCCTAAACAGGCTCTAAAACATTTGTTTACATTGCGCACAGCTGTGACTTGAAAAGACTGCTCTTAAAAGTCATGTTAAAGAGATGGAGGAAGTTAAATAAAGCTGAACTGTTTGTGCAAGAGGAAACATTTGTATGCATGTGACTTCACCCCATGACATGTTATACTTGATTTCTCATGCTCTGAATTAAGGAAAAAGAGCATATGGTAGTAAAAACTGGCCAATCACAATATACTGAGCTACAGATATCATTAATTGTATTTTTAAGCCATTGAGAAAAAGTGTTAAGAATAAAATAGCATTTGCTGAAATTTTATTTAGATTTCAAGCCAAAGTTTTGTAAGTGTCATTATAAATTGATAGTCACACACACACCTCTCCTTAAGTCACCTGAATTTATATCTGAGAACATCTATTATATGTACAGACACGTATGTTCAAACAGAATATACAGTGCACATAAATTCAAAAACAAACAAAAAAAAAATTACAGAATATGACAATAAAAAATTGTCCATGATGTAATAGAGAAATCCATATGAACTCACTTGATGTCCTCCCACACATCTGGACCATAATTTCTCAACACCAGAAGTTCTAGTGCATGGTTCACAAAACCGTACTGCCAAAAAAGAGTGAATATACAGTTGTGAAATTCATGCATGATATAATAATAATATGTTTGTATATACACTACATGCAGTGTAATGCATTATTTGCCTTTTTCATTGTTTACATATTCAATGTGCCATCTATACAAACATGTTGTAGTGCTTTTTGTGCGTAAGACATGAGCTGTAACGAACATTAGTGTATTTTATCACACAGTGCGGCAATACAGCTACTATAATAGCCTACAGAAATACATATTTGAGTAATGTCATATTTCCATCGCTTTTATACCACCGATGCTACCGTAAGCTGCAGAGCAAGTATTTACGTGAATAAGGATTACAGAATAAAAACAGAAATGTAAAATCGCATTCATATTATTGCTACATACCATGTTTGGAATAATTCGCCAGTCCTCTGTTTGTGATACCTTAAATCACTAAACACCAGCACTGACAAAACGTACAGCTGTTACAAGTGAACCCACCATTCCTGAAACGAGCTCATTGTTATTGACAGAGGATGCAGCCAACGAGAGCGCAGGGATGCAACAAGTACTACACAGCTGGTTCTCGCTATTTGCGTTTTACTGGATCCCGGATTCAGGAATTATACTACGTTGAAGGATTGGCTCATGAATATTAATTACGCAACATGACGTTTGTCCAGAATACCTATCTGATTGGCCGCGAGGTAGACGCTAGTAGGTGGGCGTTAATCAACTGGCAAATTAACGAATCCTACTATGGTTGAAGGCCTGGGTCATGAATATTAATTAGGTTACGTTTTGTAAGCTCCGGGAAGGTTACCAAGCAACGCCAACATGACCTTATTAATATTGATCGACCAAGCTTTAGCAGGGGGAATGCTGTCAGGAGATATTATCGTTGGAGCTGTTTAGAAATATCTTAATATTGTAATCAGTCTAATTAATGAAAAATTTATCAAATTAAGAACATGAATTCGTAATTTCATACCCTATTGATTTTATTATTTTATGAAGACGTTTAAATTTTCATGAAGCTTATACTTTGTTCTTAGTCAATTTGATAGCAAGATATTAGCCTAATATTTCTTTAATTTATACATTTCAGATTAATCTCTAATTTGCTATACTAGTATGCTCTAAATGAAATCAGTTAAACCTGAATGTCATATTTGGGTTTTATATTCTGAAAAAATTAATAAAACCTGTTGGATTCCTGTTGTAATTATAATTCAACATTTTTTTTTTTATCTGTGATAGCAAGAAATACTAATTTCTTCACTTCTTTTAGAATTTTATATTAAATAATATGTAGTGATGAATATAGTAGAGCTAAATGAAATTCACCATGATGTGGTATTTTAGGCACAGACAGGCTTATCATAACATTTTTGTTTTGTGCTTCTGATATATTACCATATTACTTTTCATGAAGCATGTTAAGCTTGGTAGATTTTAGAAGAAAAAAAAAACATGACCCCTGTTCTGTTTAACAACATGTTAAAACATCGTTAGGACGTGTTATGTGAAGAACAGTGTTATGTGAAATCTGAACAAAATTTAGAATAATGCAACAGTGTTATCTTTTTGTGGTCTTTTCATGAAAAGACCAGGTCACATTGAAACATGAGACATTAAACAAACCAAACCTTGAGTAAAGCATGTTTATTACAGATTTATTACAATACAAAAAAGTCACAATGTTTACTTTAAGGATGACTGTGGTCGGACTCTGCTAATGTGAACCTTTACTGTGTGCTTTTCTTCCCCTTCACCGTGTGGTGCACTACAATGAAATGTGCTCTATTCAGACTATTGAATTGATACTAATTGCCCCATACACAATAAATGATTCACTTTATTGGTTCTGTAGCATTTAAATAATATAAATACAAATGTGGATGGCATTCTCTGATTTTAGATTTTTGGTATACAGTCAGGAAGTCAAAATAAACTAAATACTTTATTAAAACAAAAGATGTTCTGCCAAACAAAAATCTGAGGCTTTAAACCAACACTACTGTGAACAAAAACTGTGCACAGTGAAACCCTTCTAATGAGTGTTATTTGATATCTTTTTGGCAACATTCAACAGTTGGATGATAAACTACCTCTGGCTCAACTAAAAAGATACACAGAGTGACAGGCAGTATTAACCCACTGTTTCCAGCATTTGTGTCTTAAAGATTTTATGTTTTTAATCCACTGGGTTGAGTTTCGTCTGTAGCACAGCCAGTGGAACCAGCACTTGTCATTTGATCGCGAGCCTGGAGGAAGTAACAAACTCCAGGGATGTCGGCAGGGAAGTTGGGCGGAAGATCCTCTCTTGTCCGGGGGATGAGAGTGAACTCTGGACAATCTGTTAACAATCTGAAATGAGAGAGAAGTAACAAATTGTCCTAAAACCCACATGCAGGTACACAGTAAAACTGCTAGTGCTAAATCACCTCTAACAGAGTGGAATATACTTAAAATACTTGTACTTGTTTTGGCTCATCCAGAAATTATTTAATAAGGAAGATCTTCATGTGTTATTCTTTCTTAAACATAAAAAACACAGATCCATTTGGTGAAATGTTCCTGTTCTTTGTTCATTTAAAATGAATGCAGTTGTTTTACTCACACCTTATTGTACAATAACTGACTCACTGCTGCTCTTGATAACGTGTAAAAATAAATTTACCCTCACTTAAAATTCAAAACTGTAAAATAATAAAATAAACATTTAGTTACACTTGCCAGTAAGTTCTGAATACAGAATAAACAAACAGGACAGTTGTTTCGGTTTATACCTGTATGTGGTGGGACTGACGTTAATCTTTCTTGGCAGGCTACAGGACTCAAACTTGTTGGCTAATGTGACGTTATTGCCAAAAAGGCAGTAGCGGGGCATTTTAACACCGACTACACCAGCCAAAACTGAGCCAGAGTGGATCCCGATACGCATCTGAGAATAAAACAAAGCAAAGACTCCCTTTAAAAAAAATAGTTTTCTTCTCAAATATTCTTTTTATATTCTTTATTGCAAGCCATACGTAATATTAACATTTCTGAGCAAATTCAAAGTCTCCTGATGTGAATTGTTTTCCAAAATATATTTATCATTTAAACAATGATAATTCAGAAGCTCAAACCGAATCTTTAAACAAACATATACCTTTTTCCAAAATGAATGTTTGTTATGTAAGGGATAATGTACATCCAGCCGGTTGTTATCTCAGATTATTACACGGCTCTGTGGAATACTTGATTCTGATTGGTCAGTCGCGACATTCCGAGGTATGCTATCCCTCGATAAAAGCTAATAACACAGGCTCATCCGGGTAACAGCAGTCGGCGCTGTACTCTTGCTTGAACAATTTTTTCTTGGTGGAAGATTTGCGTTTGTTTAGCTAATAAAATATTAAAACTCGATTCAAAATGGTGTACAATTATTTAATTATGTCATCATGGTATCGCAGACTCGCTCTCGTTTCATACAAACGCAGCTGCTGCCATTTTGTTACGATTGTTTTGTATGCTGTAATGGATTATAAGAGAACTAACAAACTGGTAAGGTTTTAAAACATTTTCTTCTTATTTCTTTTATTGCCTTAATTATGTTTGTGGTGAAATGTTGTGTAATAAGTGGTTTGACTGCACCGTTTCCCTTAAATGTCCATCTAGTTTGAATTTGCCGCTTGCTCGCAACTGCTGTCTTCACGGAAGCTTTGCGTTCAAATATTTCAACTCAAATCAATGAGATAACAACCGGCTGGATGTACATTATCCCTTACATAAACCCCGACAGGGTGATCAGGACCCCGACACGAAGCGGAGGGGTCTTGTATCAGCCTGAAGGGGTTTATTCTGAGATAACAACCGGCTGGATGTACATACAATAATTAGACGCGAAATATTGATTTGAGTTGAAATATTTGAACGCAAAGCTTCCGTGAAGACAGCAGTTGCGAGCA